TGAGAGAGAATAAGAGAGATAGAGGGGATAAGAAACAGAGAGAATACGAGAGAGAAAATAAGAGAAGGAGAGAGAGAAGGAGAGAGAGAAGGAGAGAGAGAATAAAAGAGGGAAAAGAGATAGATAGAGAGAGAGAAATAGAGAGAGAGAAAGAGAGGGAGAGAGACAAAGAGAGGGAGAGAGTGAGGAGGGATAGAAAGATAAACAACGTCAGACAAAATGGATAAAATAGAGAGATAAAGGACGACAGTTAGAAAGGGATAAAATAGATAAACAACGTCAGTCAAAAAGAGATAAGATAAAGAGATAAAGGACGTCTGACTAAAAGGGATAAGATAGAGAGATAAAGGAACTCAGTCAAAAAGGGATAAGATAGAGAGATAAAGGACGTCAGTCAAAAAGGGACGAGATAGAGAAAAAAGGACGTCAGTCAAAAATGATAAGATAGAGAGATAAAGGACGTCAGTCAAAAAGGGATAAGATAGAGAGATAAAGGACGTCTGACTAAAAGGGATAAGATAGAGAGATAAAGGACGTCAGTCAAAAAGGGATCAGATAGAGAGATAAAGGACGTCAGTCAAAAAGGGATAAGATAGAGAGATAAAGGAAGTTAGTCAAAAAGTAATAAGATAGAGAGATGGCACCAGGAAGAAAAGGAAGAAGACAACAATAGGAAGAGGAAGAAGCAGAATGGCGGGAATTCTCTAACGACCAGGCACATCCTAATGAGCGGGGCGGTGGGCGGGGGAGAAGAAAAAAAACTGCAGACGTAGAAAATTAACCGTTTCCCGCACTTTCTCTCAACGAGTCTGAAGTGGCAGCATATTATGTGAGGCATCGAGGTGAAATCAGGCGCTCGTCAAAATAACGAAATCGGGGGAACAGGTATTTTTCCCCAGTTTTGAAATTTTGATGCAACTTTTTTGTTTGTTTTTGGTTAAACCTCTTTTATATTCATATAAAAACACATTTCCATGTGAAATTTACGGAGAAATACAAAAATAAAGCCATTTTTCCGTTTTCGAAGATCCTTTAGTTATTGGAGTTTCCAAACTTTGGCGGTCATTTTCTGGCTAATTTGACCACTGAAACCAGCCGACTTCACTTCCTTCAATAGCAGACATCTTGAGTTCTATTCAAGATAAATGGATAAGGATATTTATTTCATTGGAAGAAAGGCAAATATTATATAAATCAGCTTTCACATGATACCAATAACTCCACATGCCCCAAAATTGACGAGAGCCTGATTCCACCACGTTGTGACACATATATGTTTCCCTCGCGCTGGTAAGAACGAAATGGAGAGAAAAACGGCTTTTTTTTTAAACGGGTGGGGATT